ATGTCATTCATCTACTTCAAAGCCCTGCAAACACTTATAAGACCCAAGCTTCTCATCATGGGACACCAGGACCCCCAGGACCTGGCTACTCCCTACTTCCCCAACATCACCCCTGCCACCTGTTACCTGGCATTGAATACTGTGAAAACACTGTACTAAATTATTTGTATCTATCTCCTGCTATGCTGTATCATCGCATCTCCATGCCTTTGTTTATACTCTTCCCTCTACCTGGAATGCTGCTTTCTCTTCTTCTCTCCCTTTTGTGTCTCTTTAATCTCATTTTAGATTTGGCTCAGCTGCCACCTCCTTGGGGAAACTTTCCATGACTCATACACAGCCCAACTCAAAGATCATTTAGTCCAATCTCTAGCCCAATGCAGGAAGTCTATCTAAGGCCTCCCAGTAGAAGGTCATCAAAGGAAGAGCCCATGTCTTCACAAGGTAACTGGCTCTGAACTTTTCTATGGTCACATAAACCAGTCAAAGCCCCTTATTATTCTGTTTCATGAGGGAGTCTGTCAGTTCCTGTTTCCCGGGTTTTCTGTGAATGGTGGTTAAAATAATACACCTGCAGCTTCAAGATGGAGAGTTAGAAGTTGGGAGCCTAACTGAGAAATTCTCTTGGCAGGTCCTGTAGAGGTGATGTCTAGCTTTGAACTTTCAGATCTTGTCAGGGAGAGGGGGTGGTAATGAAAATGATGATGGGGAAGGACAGAGCTTACGGACAAGCCAGTGGTCATTTCCTTCCTTATGGATTTAATTTCCAAACTTTCTGACTTTTCATTTTTAAACCCTCTACCTGTGACTCACAGAGGTTTCGAGAGACCTTCAGAATGCCTGTGGACTTCAAGGAGGAGGAGGCACAGATAGAGGGAAGATGTACCCTCTGGTAAACCACATATGGGTTAGAATTCAGCCACCGTGACGACAGTTACTAAGATTCCAAATGCATCCTTAACGCTTTGGGCAAATCTCTCTTTTTCCAAGACTGAAAAGTTACATCTGTAAATACATAGATGGGAGATACCTGGTATGGAGGAAAAGATAGTAAAGGCTGATTCTGGGATCCTGCTCTTATTGGGATTGTGGGAGAAGAGGTAGGATGAGCATGAACTTTCTTTACCTACACTCTAGCACAGGCCTAGTGTTTTCGGCTTTCAATAAGCTTTCCCTGTTTCTGTGCATTTTAAAGGGTTCAGTATAGTGACTGAGTAAACACTGGGAGATTGTCAAATAGTCCTTAGTCAAAAGTTTATTTGGGGGAAGCACAAGAAGGAATTATAATACATATGAACGAATCAGTAAAATAGATATGAATCAATGTTGTTCATACTGCAATGCTGGAAATGCAAACAATAAAATTATAGTGGCTATTGAGCCATTAAATCATCTTACCAGCCATTGTCACTGTATGCAGACAGAGCATACAATTACATTTTTTATTGGTAGTTGAGTATAGATCATCTGGAAATATAAGAATGAGAATAGAGGCAAAACATTCTCTGACATAAATCGTACCAATGTTTTCTTAGGTCAGTCTCCCAAGGCAATAGAAATAAAAACAAAAATAAACAAATGGTACCTAATCAAACATACAAGCATTTTCACAGCAAAGGAAACCATAAACAAAACAAAAAGACAACCTACAGAATGGGAGAAAATATTTGCCAATGATGTGACTGATAAAGGCTTAATTTCCAAAATACACAAACAGCACATACAACTCAACAACAAAGAAACAAATAGCCCAATTGAAAAATGGGCAGAAAACCTAAATAGACATTTCTCCAAAGAAGACAGATGGCCAAAAAGCACATGAAAGGATGCTCGATGTTGCTAATTATTAGAGAAATGCAAATCTAAACTACAATGAGGTACCACCTTACACCAGTCAGAATGACCAGCATTAAGAAGTCTTCAAACAACAAATGCTGGAGAGGGTGTGGAGAATAAGAAACCCTCTTACACTGTCAGTGGAAATGTCAATGGGTGCAGCAGCTGTGGAAAACAGTATGGAGGTTCCTCAAAAAACTAAAAGTAGAGTTGCCGTATGATCCAGCAATCCCACTCCTGGGCATATCCCCAGACAAAACTATAATTCAAAAAGATACATGCACCTCTATGTTCATAGCAGCACTATTTACAATAGCCAAGACATGGAAACAACCTAAATGTCCATCAACAGATGAATGGATAAAGAAGATGTGGTACATATATACAATGGAATATTACTCAGCCATCAAAAATAATGAAATAATGCCATTTGCAGCAACATGGATGGACCTAGAGATTATCATACTAAGCAAAGTAAGTCAGAAAGAGAAAGACAAATACAATATGATATCACTTATATGTGGAATCTAAAATACTATACAGGGGCTTCTCTGGCAGTGCAGTGGTTGGGACTTTGCCTTCCAATGCAGGGGGTACAGGTTCAATCCCTGGTTGGGGAGATGGGATCCCACATGCCTCGTGGCCAAGGAACCAAAAAACATAGAACAGAAGCAATGTTATAACAAGTTCAGTAAAGACTTTAAAATGGTCCATATCAAAAAAAAATCTTTAAAAATAAATAAATATGATACAAATCAACATATCTACAAAACAAAAACAGACTCACAGATAATAGAGGACAGACGTGTTTGCCAAGGGGGAGGTGGGGAGGGGAGGTAAGAATTGGGAGTTTGGGATTAGTAGAGGCAAACTATTATATATAGGATGGATAAACAACAAGGTCCTACTGTACAGAGAACTATATTCAATGTCCTGTGACAAGCCGTAATGGAAAAGAATTTGAAAAAGATTGTATATATATGTATGTGTATAACTGAGTCCCTCTGCTATACAGAAGAAATTAACACAACATTGTAAATCAACTATACTTCAATAAAGTTGTTTAAAAAAGAATGAGAGTAGAGTGATGAAGGGAAATTAGTGCTATTAGTTTTAAAATTCTTTTATTCTATTTTTAAAAAGATTTTGTTATTCTAGAGCAGCTTTAGGTTTATAACTTGAAAGGGAGGTACAGAGATTTCCTATATATCCCTGCGTCCACCCATGCATAGCCTCCACCATTATCAACATTGCTCATTGGAACGGTTCTTTTTTTAACCAGGGGTGAACCTACATTGACACATCATAATCACTCAACATCCACACTTTTACCATGGGGTTCACCTTTACATAAGTTTGGAAAATGGATAATGACATATATCCATCATTATAATATCACGTAGAGTATTTCCACTGCCTTAAAGCCAATAGATTAAATTTTTTTAAAATTTATTTTTTATATATTTATTTTTGGCTGTGTTGGGTCTTTGTTGCTGCGCGTGGGCTTTCTCTAGTTGCGGCGAGAGGGGGCTACTCTTCGTTGCCGTGCACAGGCTTCCCATTACGGTGGTTTCTCTTGTTGCAGAGCACGGCCTCTAGGTGCACGGGCTTCAGTAGTTGTGGCTCACGGGCTTAGTTGCTCCACAGCATGTGGGATCTTCCCAGACCAGGGCTCGAACCCAAGTCCCCTACATTGGCAGGCAGATTCTTAACCACTGCACCACCAGGGAAGCCCAAAGCCAATAGATTTTTAAAAATACATTCTAAAGGCACACTAATTAATAGTATAGTGCTGAAATAGGCAGGTCAGTGGGGAAAGGTAGACAGTCCAGATATGGACCCAAGTGCAAACAAAGTAAGTTTATGATAAAAAGGAGCATTCCAAATCAGTAGGAAAAATATTCAGTAAACAGTGTTGGGATAAATGTTTAGTCTTTTAGAAAAAAAAAATAAAAGCAGAGCTCTATTTTTCTCTGCACATCAAAAATAAATCCAAGGTGGACAAAAGACTTAAATACAAAAATGAAATTATAAAAGTACTGGGATAAAACAATGAATCTTTGTATAATCTTGTCATGGAGAAAGCTTTTCCTAAGTATGACATAGAATCCAGAAGTTATAAAGAAAAGATGAATACATATGACTACTGAAAAATGGAATTTTCTGAATAAAAAATACAATCAACAAAGTCACAGACAACAATCTGGGCAAAAAATGGTTAACATATATGATAAGAGCACTAATTCCTTTAATATATATGGAACTTTCAGAAATCTATAAGAAAAAAACCAACCACCTATAAAAGAATGAGCAAAGAATATGAACTGGTAGTTCAGAAAAAAAGAAAAAAGGAAATCCCCACCACATATGCAAAGAATACCTCATCTCACTGCTAATTCAATAAGTGCAAATTGAAATATCAACCAGATACCATTTTTAACATACCAAGCTTTAAAAGTTTGGTAACAAACCATGCTGTCTGGCAACTAGGGAAACATACACTACTGGTGGAAATACATATTTTGTAACTCTTTTGGAGGAAAGCTTGGCAGTATCTGCCAAAATTCAAGGGTGTATGTACTTCATCCAGAGGTTCTCCTTCTAGGAATCTGTCCTATAGATAAAGTTACACAAGAACTGCAAGATGTATAACCAAAGTTGTGTGAATATTTCTGCATTGTTTAGCTAGTCAAAATAAAAAGTAAAGCAAATAGTAGATTCTGAAAGAAAGGAAAGAAAAACAACAGTGAAGGAGAGTGTTACAATGATATGGAATAATATCCAGTACATATTTTTTGATTGAAAAAAATGTACAACAGTGTGTGTAATTTATTTTTTATTGTTTTTTTAATAATTAAAAAAATTATTTTATTTATTTATTTTTGGCTGTGTCGGGTCTTCGTTGCTGTGTGCGGGCTTTCTCTGGTTGCAGCGAGCAGGGCCTACTCTTTGTTGCGGTGTGCGGGCATCTCATTGCAGTGGCTTCTCGTTGCGGAGCACGGGCTCTAGGCCTGCGGGCTTCAGTAGTTGTGGCTTGCGGGCTTCAGTAGTTGTGGCTCGCAGGCTCTAGAGCGCAGGCTCAGTAGTTGTGGCGCATGGGCTCTAGAGCGCAGGCTCAGTAGTTGCGTCACTGGGGCTTAGTTGCTCCTCCACAGCATGCGGGATCTTCCTGGACCAGGGCTCGAACCCGTGTCCCCTGCATTGGCAGGCGGATTCTTAACCACTGCACTACCAGGGAAGCCCCAGTGTGTGTAATTTAATACCATCTGTGTAAAAATGAGAGGGCGATACCCATACTCCTTGTAGTGTGTCCAACATTTCTGGAAGGTTATACAGTGGTTAACTCTGGAGAGTGAGTCAGAGGTTTTACTTTTTACCTTATGAGCCTCTTTGCTGTTGGAACGTTTTACCATGGGCACGTATTACTTCTGAAATAAAATGTACTTTTTTGTTGTTGTTGTTACTTTTACAAATCAAAAAGAGAAATTCTATCTGTTTAAGGAAAGTTTCTGTAGACAACATTGAGGGTTTTTTTCCACCTCTCTTAAATAACATATTTTCAATTTTATTGAATAAATGGAAGATTCTAAATTCAGTCTCTTTGTCTAACATTCACTCCATCTGCCCATCCATCTCTCCTTGGTGATATTTGTTACAGGCATGGCGTGGGGAAAATGAAGGGCACTGAGAAATTGTAGTCTGTCACCTTGCAAAAGGGACATAGTTCAAGAAAGTTGAAAGTAAAAGCTCACTCCAGAGTGGGTTCCGCGTCTCACTAACATTTTGAAACTGTTCTTTCCCAGAGACGTCACAATTGGTTGAATGAAAATTCTGGGTGATGGAGGGATTAAGATAATTTCTGGAATATGTATTGGGCACTGTCATGCAGCAGCAATGCACCCCCATGGAGACATCCCAACCATTCTTCTGTCACTTGTTGCGTGTGGGTGATAGAAAGAGCCTGGAGGGAAAGGGAGCCCAGAGGTGTGGCCGGTACCACCTGCCGGTACCACCGACATCTAAGCAAGGGTCAGAGACTGTGTCAGAAACTATATCAGTCATCAGGTATTAGTAAGAGCATACTAGACGCCAGGCCCTTAGACTACAATGGTAAACCCCACATACCATACCATTGTATAGCATACGTATATTACAAGCATGACATAATATAATAAAACATTACAAAATAAAGGAAAAGTTATTGAGGAGCTGCCAACTGCATGTGAAAGAGCCAAGTTCCCCCAGATTTAATTGTTACTCTCCTGCTTAAACTCTCAGTGGCTCCCAAGCAGCTTCAAATTAAGTCCCCGCTTGAATTCAGTGCACTTCATCATCTAGCTCCTGTGTATGTCTTTGGCCTTAGCTCTTGACACTGCTCCTCCCATCTCCTGAGATGCCTGTGTTACACCCAAACCAAATTATTTGTGGTTTCCCATTGTAATTTCACACCAGGCTGCCTTTGAAAACATTTCTTTTCTTGCCTGCTTGAAAAACTTGTGCTCATCCCTTGAGACCTGGCACAGAAATAAGCCCTTCAGGAAAGATTTCCCCTAGATCCCCTCTGTATTTTATGTGTAGCTTTATTATCACACTTTACACACTATCCTGCGCATACTTAGAGAGGTACGCCCGAGAATCTCCCATCAGTGTGTAAGCTCCCTGAGAGCAGAGACCCTGCCTCGTGAATCTTGGTGTGTCTAGCATACAGCCCAATGCCTGGGGAGAAGGAGCTGCTCAAGGTGTTTTATGAATGAATGGATGGATCAAAAAGTGAATCAGTCATCCTCCAGCCAAAGGATTTCTTTGTAGTACAACATTTCTTAATATTGAGACAAATCTGATAAAACTTGCATCTCTCTTGGGTTCTATCTCCTCGCTACTTCAGTCCCAGGGCAACAGGCTCTCCCCAAGGCACTCTAGTGAGGTTCCTGTAGCAATTACGAGAGAATCAACTGTACTGCCAGTGCAGTTTTGCGTAGGAAAAGATTCACTTCACGGCGCACCAAATCACCGATTAGGTATCATTTAAATCTTGACCGCGTACTTGTAAGCCTGATGCCTGAGTTCTTCCTCCTTCCCATAGCTAGCCTCTCTCCGAACAAGCTGAGATAACAACCTGCTTTCTTTGGCAAATTGATTAATGCGGACATTACTCAATAGGCCTGGTTGTATGACATGTCCAATAACATTGCCATTTTGTTTATGGGGTGTTGGGTAAAAATACCCAGGAATTTACTACCAGTAGAGTGACCACCTGTTTGCTGGAGACATTAAAGAGGGAAATCTGGGGAGGCAGCCCCCCCAAGGGATTCCATCACCAGCCTCCACTCCCACAAGAAACTGCCTCTTCTGAGCTTGGCAATAGCACCTGTGGAAACAAGAGAACAGCAGTGCGGGTACCTTAGCACTTCGCTTGGCTGGAAGGAGGGCAGAGCTGGAGAGGGTGTCAAGCACTGCTTCAGAGGCGACGAGAGAAGTGCATCTTGATTTAGGAGTAGAGACAAGGGAGAAAAGGAGCACGCATGAGAGAAGGGATGGGAAGTGAGGAGGAAACACAACTGTAGGGCAGGAAACCGGGCAAGTGCAGCCAGGACCACTCCCCCCTCACCTCTGGGACCCTGCGGGGGACATGGGAGGCTAGGGGAAGGGGAGGTGTGATCCTGTCTGGAAGCTGTGATGAGAAGGAAGGGAGCTGGCCTCTACTTGAGCCTCACCTGCAGCAGCCAGAACAGAGCTGATCAACAGACACACTCCGTGCTGAGTGGCAAAGGAGGCCATCAAAGCGAAACACAGCAGAAGGCCTGAAGTTTTCTAAGACAAAACAAACTGGAGAAAATCCTCCAGGTTTAGGGAAAGGAAAACCGCCTCCCAGGACTTGCTGTCTGAAAACACAAAACATCAAGAAGAACAGAGCACAAGGCAAGAACTGTGTGAAAAAAAGGGAAAGGGTGAGGCACAGAGGAGAGGGTCAGAGAGTCCACGGTGATGTCAGAGGTGCCAGACACTGAGGCAAAAGTGACATTTCTTGCACAACCTCTAATGACGTGCGCATCAGCCAGTGCAAGGCCATCCTGAACTGGCCATGGTACCATGCGAGATGCTTGTCTGAGGCAGGCAGCATCCCTTAAGACAAAATGACTTTCTTTTCTGATTTAGAAAAACATCTAGAGACTAGAGCTGAAATGTAAAGTGAATCTGTAAAATTCGAAATGACATGTATGTACTCCTGGTAGAAAGCGGAAGGAGAGGATTGCTACTCATGTTTTGAATCTCATAATCGTGAGAGCAGCAGGTGTGTCGGGAGAGGTGCAGCAACAAACTAGACTCTTACATGCCTACACTGAACTCTAAAATGAGCCCTGTAACAAAATTAGCTAGTCGTATAAACTCTCAGTTCTGATAATACGGTTTATCTTGTTAGGGAGACAAAGTGGCTGTTTAAAGATCTGACTTAAAGGGAAAAAATGAAAGGCACAAAGAGCTTAGTAATTGCATGGAAAATATGTATATGCTTATACAAAGTTCCTACAGATCGCTGTGGTTAATCCATCCCCTGAAGTTTCTAGTAGAAGGCCCCAGAAAATGCTGGGCAGCAAAAAGTCTGGAACAGAAATGAAAAGAGAATAATTCTTTTACTCAGATTAAAACACAGACAAGCAGAACCGTGGTTGCTCCACACACATCCACACCCATGGGAGATGGTACTGAGGCATTTCTGTGACTGTCCCTGGAAAGAGAGGTGATGGTGTCAGAAACCACTCAGAAAAGTCCACTGCAAAACTTGACGGGGCTCAGGCGTGGGGAAAGACCTTTTTAAAACAGTACATTTCATTTGGATATGTGACAGCTGAGAAACAGCACGGTGTGACTCTCTGAAGACCAGAAACCGTGAGGGCACAATCACCATGGCTTGTTTACAAGGATCAAAGGATGTCCTGTGAAACTTGTTTGAGATACATTTATAATACATATTTTTAAAGAACTATTTCATATAGCAAGCAGAAAAAAAATCTTTAATGACTTGGACACATTTATGAATGACAGAGACAGAAATGGCTGTTCAGCAGAATGATGCTATCTAACTTTTAAGGACAATCATGCCGTCTGTCAAAGGACTGCTGTTGGTGACAAAAATACCCTTAGCACAATCGGTCAAATTCCATGTGGCAATCCTTTAATTCCTATGTGATAAATTTCATGCAAACATTTTTGGAGGGCTTCCCTGGTGGCGCAGTGGTTGAGAGTCCGCCTGCCAATGCAGGGGACACAGGTTCGTGCCCCGGTCCGGGAAGATCCCACATGCCGTGGAGCGGCTGGGCCCGTGAGCCATGGCCGCTGAGCCTGCGCGTCCGGAGCCTGTGCTCCACAACGGGAGAGGCCACAACAGTGAGAGGCCCGCGTACCGCAAAAAAAAAAAAAACATTTTTGGAAACTGAGTGGTATTACTACTACTAATATTATATTTTATCTCACAAAATATGAGGTGCTATACCATTCAAGTACCATTGTCTTGACCAAAGAAGACTGACATTAACCATATTCAGGCTTAAATGTTTTTGGAAACAATTCTAATGTATAAGTAAAATGGTTTAAAGATGTATCTGGAATGGAAGGCTTCTTATGCAGATGAGGAAGCCTTTAAGGGAATTGAAAATATGCTGTAAAAGTTCTTGAATATGTAAACGAGTCAAAAAATAAATGAAGATATGTGATACCAAATAGAAATATCAGAATACCCATATTAAAAGTAATGCCAGAAAGAGTCAAAGGTGTTTACATCTAGCAGTAGATAACACCTAGAGACAGGAAATATTAACACTTAAATTCTCATAAATATTGTTTGGAGCTTTTTGAAAACATCTTGACGGTCGTAAGTAAGTCTGATAGAGTCCCAATAGTAAATTTTAGGTTGCATTTTTTTTCTTAGAAATGGAGACTATTGAAGCAAAATTTGGAGGACTTAAGGCTATTCATAAAATAAGAAATAGGTCCCCTGCTGCTCTCCTGAAGTCACAGGTACCAAAACCATGCTTTCTCCTGCATAACCCAGGATTCCAGTCTTCTGTTCCTTAACAATGTAGGATCTGGAAGATGAGCCCTGTCAGATTTCTATTCAGCAAACAACTCTGGGTTTACCAAAACTTAACTGGAAAAAACCTCAAAAGTGAACTTTGATGAAAGGAAGCTTGTTTTTGAAAAAAAAAATGTTCCTAAGCAAACATGCAGGCTGAGTTTTTTTTTACTTCCTCCATCACAAGTGCCATGGTAAGTTTAAGCTTCTTCGGGTCTGAGTCAGTAGAATAAATGTGCCTGTCTTACGTGTGTCTGCTGGGTAAACCCTCAGGAGAATCGTGAAAGACGGTACCTGGTCACTTGTTGGTTCTTCATCTGTCTCCTATCTCCCCTGCCCTAACCTTCATGGGCATCCACTGTTTACGGGGCTGCTCTTTACATGCTCAAAGCTCCAGCACAGCAATTAGATCTACACAGATCTCTCCCCTTCTTAGAACACCTGTCCTTCAAACCCATATGTGTATTCCTCTTTTCTCCCAAACCTAAACCTAATCGTCAGGTAGCAAATACAAGGAGAAAAAAAAAAAAAAGAAGCACATTCATACTAAAGTGTAAATGACTAATAGTGATGCTTAGCAAGCCATCTCTTATAAAGGGTGGTTTAGTTTTAAACAGTTGCTTATTGGCCAAATAATTTCCCATTTTTGTACTTAAGCAAGGGCACACTTCATTCTTTCCTACAGTGTGAGGTACATAAGGCTTAGTATTTTCAGTAGAAACGGTAGTTGGGAGGATACTGAGAAAAGCTGTTGCTGAGTTGGAGGTGACACTTTCAGTACACTGGTGAAGGGGAAGAGGTAAGGGAAAGTTTGAACGTGGAAGGTTTTGGTTCCTTGAGCTTCATTTTCTCTTCCTTATTTTTATGCTGATCAGATCTTTTTTCATTCCTCGGCAACAGACTGTTTCAGTCCTTTGTGGCATCATTTATTTCTTTTGCTCCTGCTGACAAGCTGGAGGCTGAATTATGTGCTCATTCTGAAAATGTTCCTTTAGGCTCTTGCTTCTGAACTTTCTAGCCAATGCAGAGTAAATAGGTACTGTGCTGTATGCAAATGTAGGCATATTTGTCCGTGTAGGCAAAGGGGGGGGAGCATTTTGCAAAATGCCTTTAGAACAGAACCAAACTTTTGAAATGGAATATTTTATAGCCTCATGACAATAAGCTAAACTTTTCGGAAACAAAAAGGACAGAGAAATACTTATCTATAAAGTACGTTGGAAAAAACACACACAAAAAACAAAACAGGACTAAAACTTCAACAGTGAGTTCACCTCAAGCATTTCATGAATTTCACATGACCCACCCACTTTTTCTCTGTACCTCTGAAGATTACCATATCAGCGGCAATAATACTCTGTTGTTCTAGTGCCAGATTTACATATCAATGTAGCCATGGCATTCCTGAATGTAGAATATTGTACTGTTCCCCTTGTTTGTGGTTTCTAAATAAGGTTAATTTTTGTTCCCTTACCCTCCTCTCTTAATCTTATGCCACCCCCTACCTCTCTTCAATCAGTGGTTTGTTTTTTTTCTTTGAATAGTTTTCCTCCTTCTCTTTCCCCGTCTCTGTGTCATAATCGGGACCATCCACAAATTCACTGTACAACCATGCTGCGTTTTAAAAATCTTTATCACTCAGCCACAGATGATCAACTCTTTGAGAAGACAGGCCAGGGACAGAGAAGTAACGACGGGTCACTTCTGGGGTGACTCTGGGATACCTTCTTCCCCAAATGTATGGTGTGTGTTAAGGTGGGTCAGAAGTTACCGTGGTCGATTTCACGGCCACCTTTGTTTCTTTCTTGGAAGGTTTTGTTGTTCATTCTTGCTATTTCTAGATTGGAGATGAGTCTAGCACAAATCTGCATGGCAGAATTGGATCAACCAATTTTCATTTCCATTGAACGTTTGGAAAGGGCTGGATAATTTTTAAATTCTTAGACTCTTAGGTGTCAAACTTAATGGAAAGCCAGCTGGAGCCTAACAAGCTATTTTAATGAGCTTCCTTTCTCTCTGATGTTCCCCAGGGGCTAGTGCCAAGCAGACCCATGTGGCCCAGGGAGTAACATGATCATCTTGGCTCTGTTTAGACACCTGTGCTCTTTTAGCCAAGCAGTAAGGGGAGCAGGAGAAAGAGAGAGATGAGGGCATGGAAGGCATGCAGATCAAGAAGGAGTGGGTGTGTGCCATGCTGTTTAGGAATTCACTACAAGAAACTCCACAGCAACAGCAGAGACCTGACGCATCACAGGCCAACAGTGCCTCTATGTGGGGTGTCTGAGAGCACATGAAATGTGTTTGTGTGTGCTGGGGAGGAAAGGTGGGGAGGGGAGGGAGGAGAAAATTATATGCATTTTTCAAAGGAACTGAATGATTCGGAGGTTCCTTTCGAGAAGGCAATATAGGAAGAAAAGATTGAAAACCATGTATACAAAATATCCAGGACCCTGAGATTATATTCTTCATCTAAGCTTCCTCCCACTCCTTTAAAAAAAAAAAAATTGCTGTGTTCACTTTTCCTTTCCCATGAATTAGCCTGATGCTTGGCTCTCCCTACCCACTCTGAACAACTTAGCACATAGATATTAAACTTGGTCTGTATCGTTTAGTGATTGTTCTTAGCCTCCTGTATGTTTGAATTTCTCCTTCCTGGATTATAGGCTCCTCGAGGATTTAAATTTACAGAAGCAAATACTTTTCTTCTGTTCTTCCTCACCCCTTTGTTACCAATCCTGGGTACTTCTCAGCAAATATTTAACATATGACTATACAATACTTCTTCATAAGATTTTCTTCCCTTTACCAAGTCTTACTTTATGATGCGATTGTTTGTTTTTATAAATTAAATTTTTAGTAAATAATTTAAAGTATTTCCACACTTTCTAAAGTGAGGATGTTTATAGTTTCTCAATGTACAGAAATGCGAAGAAAACAATACACCGTACTCTCCACCACAATATTTCACATATTTGCTTCATCTCTTTAAAAGTTAAATCTAGGGCTTCCCTGGTGGCGCAGTGGTTGGGAGTCCGCCTGACGATGCAAGGGACGCGGGTTCGTGCCCCGGTCCGGGAAGATCCCACATGCCGCGGAGCGGCTAGGGCCGTGAGTCATGGCCGCTGAGCCTGCGCGTCCGGAGCCTGTGCTCCGCAACGGGAGAGGCCACAACAGTGAGAGGCCCGCGTACCGAAAAAAAAAAAAAAGTTAAATCTAGGGCTTCCCTGGTGGCGCAGTGGTTGAGAGTCTGCCTGCCAATGCAGGGGACACAGGTTCGAGCCCTGGTCTGGGAAGATCCCACATGCCGCAGAGCAACTAAGCCCGTGTACCACAACTACTGAGCCTGCGCGTCTGTGCTCCGCAACAAAAGAGGCCGCGATAGTGAGAGGCCTGCGCACCGCGATGAAGAGTGGCCCCCGCTCGCCGCAACTAGAGAAAGCCCACGCACAGAAACGAAGACCCAGCACAGCCAAAAATAAATATAAAAATAAATAAATAAATAAAAATGTTACCATTCTTTAAAAAAATAAGTTAAATCTACAGCTAACCACCGCAAGACCCTCTCCATCCCATTTCTCTCTCTCCCTCCCTAGAGAAAACCACTCTCCTGAAGTTGGCGTACATATTACTTCCCTAGCACGTGTTTAAATTTCCATCACCTGGTTCAAAACGTCTTAGTCCTCCTTCCTGAGGGCCCGGCGCACTTTTGTCAGCAGGGATGCAGACAGAGTGACAGAGGACTAACCCTGGGGGAAAGGCAGTTCCACGCCGAAAAAGAGGGCTTAGCAGTGGCAAGGGCATAGCTGGGGAGGAGGACTGAGGCCTTACTGGGCACGGAAAAGGGGTATTAGGTGAGGAAAGAGGAGAAGAACCTGCAAGGAGCACAGGCTTTGCTCCCCTGATCATCAGAGAGGATGCGGCTAGACGTCTCTGAGACTGCGTGGAATGCGGTTTGGAGGTTACAGATGCCCCCCTACCCTGGCTGGGCCGAAAGTTGCAACCCCACATGATGACCTGGTTAGGCGGCATTTACTTCTGAGGGACTGACCTGCTTTAGTTCCTCTGAAGCGTTGTACATATCGGACAGAGACAATTCTGCTTTTCTATTATTACTCTTCCTCAATTTGGAGTTGTCAGATAAAATAGAAGACACATAGTTAAATCTGACTTTCAGATAAGCAATGAATGCTTTTTTTAGTAAAAGTGTGTCTCAAGTATTGTATGGGACATACTTATACTAAAAAGGTACTTGTTTATCTGAAATTCAAATGTGAGTGTCCTGTATATTTATTTATTTATTTGCTGTACGCGGGCCTCTCACTGTTGTGGTCTCTCCCGTTGCAGAGCACAGGCTCCGGACACGGCTCACGGGCCCAGCCGCTTCGCGGCATGTCGGATCTTCCCAGACCGGGGCACGAACCCGTGTCCCCTGCATCGGCAGGCGGACTCTCAACCCCTGCGCCAACAGGGAAGCCCCTGTATATTTATTGCTAAATCTGGGAACTCTACCTCATTTGAACTTTGGAAGGGTTTAGCAAAGCACTGTAGGAGTCTGAAAAGGAGTGAGTCAAAGGGGCTCTCCAGAATAACATTAATAAAGACAATCTTTGTCAAATTCTCAATGGCCTAACACAGGCCAAAACAACAAGCTCACTGACTTTACTAAATCAGGAGGATGCCAAGACATTCTTTGTTATTTACTACTGAGAGGTAATTCACATACCATAATATTCACTCATTTAAAGTATACAATTCAGTGGTTTTTAGTATATTCAGAGTTGTGCAGCCATCCCTAAATCAATTTTAGAACAGCTTCATCACCTCAAAAGAAACCCAGTACCTATTAAAAACCACTCCCCATTCCTGGCCCCCCTCCCTCCCTGCTGTTCCCCAACCCTAGCCCCCTACATCCACTCCCCAGCTCTTCGTTTCTTTAAATGTACCTATTCCGGACATTTCATTATAAGTGGAATCCGCGATATGTGGCCTTCTGGGTCTGGCTTCTTTCACTGTGTGTTTTCAAGGCTCATCCTCGCGCATCCACATTGCAGCATGTATCAGTACCTCATACCTTTTCATTGAGGAATAATACTCCTTTGAATATAAATACCACAATTGGCCAGCCATTCATCCACTGTTGAACACTTGGGTTGTTTCCACTTTTTGACTACTAAGAATAACGCCTTTAGGACAGAACGTTACTGCACAAGTTTTCGTGGGGACACACGGTGTCATTTCCGGTGGGATTGCGGCCATATGGTAACTCTATGTCTAATATCGGAACTGTCAAATGGTTTCCAGAAGGAGCTGCACCATTGTGCATTCTTAGGTATTTTGTTTGTTTTGTTTTGTTTTGTTGGGGGGGGGTGAATTTTTAAAATAAACAGGGTTTCCTCGGTGTCTATGAGGAGGGCCTGCTCCCAGGGCCCCTCCTTCAGGTCCGCCTCTGCGGGGCTCCTAGGGTCCCCTCCCTACGCCCGGACCGCTGGAACCCAGGGACCAAAACATTGTGGGAAACGTAGTTTCGGCCCCTCCTGCGTAGCGCTCGCCGGCAGGAAAACGGACGCCTTTCTGAGGCTCTGTGGACATCGTAGTTTCCTTTTTGGTTCGCCGCGCAGAGACCGCGGTAACGAAAGCTACAATCCCCAGAATGCCGCGGTGCTACGGCAGCCGAAGCGGCCAATCCGCGCGCCGCGCTGCCGCCCTCTCTCCGGTCCGGGCCCCTCTCCAGGGCGTCTGTAAACACAGCCAGAGCCTGTCATGGAGGGGGAGGAGGAGGCAGCCGCGGCGAAGGGAGGCGTTCTGCGCCGCCTCCAGGGTCCGCTCTGCCATCCCTGAACTGGTCCCTCGTCCCCGTGACTGTGGCATCAGGGAAGCGAACTGTTAGGCGAGAGGAGGAGGCAGTCAGAACCTTATCCCGTTCTTTCCCCGGGGCTGGGGCCGGGCCGGGCCAGGCCGGCTGAGCCGGGGGAGGGCCGGGGGAGGGAGCGCCCGGCCGGGCTGGCCTGTCTGCCGAGATGGATGACAGTAAGGTAAGTCCCGGGGTTTGCACGCGCAGCTGCTGCAGCCGCCGCCTGCTTGTCGCTAAGTGCCCGCCGCTGAGCCTCAGCCCTGTAACCCACGCAGCACCCAAGAGACACCGGCCTTAGACATCTCTGCGCCTCCAGCTATGACCCCAGCTACCCAGACAGGAATTGAGGGAACAGCGGGCTGCGTTCTTCCAGCAAGGGCCCACTCCTCTGGAAAATCACACCCAGGGCAAGCCTGTTGGTCAGCTTTTCCAGGTAGTGTAAACCCTAGTCCTCCCGAGATAAGTGAAGAAACTACTGTGCTTTTTCTTTTTGCCTTCCTTTGCCCCCACCCAGCCTTTCTCCACGTTGGAGACCTTAACTAGGGCACCCTGAACCGGCCCTGTTCCCCTTGACGGTCCCCCTTTCTTCTCCCAGGCTCCCTTACTCAATGCCCCATTCATATAATCGGTTCACTCCCCCTCTGAGCTGTTCTGCTAAGCTCCTGTTGCTATTCGTCCAGAGTCTGGAATCTAACCTCCTCTAGAAAGCCTTCTCCAAGAAAAGGAATGAATTCCTTCTTGTTAATCTATCTTAATATTCCATCCCCATCCCCCTTTCCCTATCCAGATCACTTATCCCTATGATGATAAGATGACCGACAGTATTCATTATTGGTTAATTCATATAGTTTATGTATAACCTTTGTCTATCTGCGTTAGTGTGGTCTAGTTATATGTCATGAAGATAGTGATAGTCAGTTTATTCATCATCAGCTTATCGATGTTTTAGAGTGTTTAGGAAGTTGGACTTTTTTTTTTTTAAGGAATCAGACTCTAGAGTTTGCCAGTTTTCAAAATAGACACTCTTCCCTATGCTTTCCAGAGGTCTTACTTTCCACACTCTCTGGCATGCCGCTTGTGATAGCTTTTTCCTTCATTTGGGTACCCTTTCCCCCTCCATCTAACCAGTAACATTTTGCTGCTATCAAGTTTTTGTTTCACCTATCCTCAGAGAGATTGAAAAAATTTCCATCTTCTCTGTGCTGCTTCTGTTATTCTACCTTATCTCCTCTTCCTGTTCCTGCAGAAGGCTCCGAGAGAAATGCAAGCAGGGAAAGCCCAAGGCAGTACTCTGGAATCAGCACTCACTAGAGGAAGCTTATTTGTGAAGTAGCAAACCCCTCCTAATAGGAAGTGGTATTTCCCAGACAGAAAGGAGGAGTTCTGAAAGTTTTCCAGAAAAATCAGAAGAGAATTTTCCATAACAACCTTTGCTAGCTTGATCTTTCAGTGTTAATTTTGAAATTAAGTCCAAATACTGTATCCACTATCTTTCCTAGATATGGCTGGGAAAGGATGCTAAAGCAACATATTCTTTTATGTCCTCGGTTTGAGACTCTCACAGTATATTCTACATAATTTTCAGTTGTTTCTTTTTTGAACCTTTGAAACATGTAATAACTTTCTCAGAGTCTTCAGTAATCTCAAATAAATTCAAGAAAAATACATAGGATTTTGAGTTATCTTATCTACCTATAAAATAACATAGGACTTATTTCTAGAAACAGACAAGCTCTAGTGGAAGGTATAAAGTGTTACGGTTTTGCCTAAAGAGTTAAGTTAATTTTGGGGGCTAGGCTTTTCATAACTTCTTAGAATATTCATAGCTAAGCAAAACGAATTCAGTACTCATTCTTTATTAATTCATTGTATTGTGACGGTATTTAAAAACCAGCAGTTTCTTCAATCTTTAATGATTACGGAAAAGAAAAACCACTTCAGATGTCTCTGGATGGATAGTGCCTCTGTGAATACACTACTTTCACTTTGAATACATGTCGTAGCTGTGGTTGAGTAATATTTAAATGCCACGTACAGCAAGACTGGACTGCTCTTTCAGCAGTCAGGCGGTATGAAACAGTCTTTTAAAAAGGCTCCTAGGCCTGCCTTTCCCTGTGCTCTAGTTGTTACAGTCCTGCAAAATTGTATTCTCCTCCTAGTAGATACCTACATACTCACACACAAAACACACTTTTCCCTCACATTATGTATGGGTGATAGAGTCTCAGGTTCCATTTTCCCCTGTATAAGGGGATAGTTGAGGCTTGAAAGTATATGGTGGTTGTGCTGGTGATAGCATAAAAGATGACAAACTGGCTGACAGCAAGGCCAGGGCAACAGGAAGAGGACAAAGTGGGCAGGTGCAGCAGTTACAGAGAGGCAGTATTTGAATGAGCAGGTCAGGAAACATGATGATGATGCGATGAATCCCTTTATAAAGATTCTGTATTCTGAGTTGTTTTCATCAGTGGTGGTGAATGAGTTTGCCAAGAGCTTTCCACCTTCTGCCGTCTAGTTTCCTGGAGTCAGGGCAGGACAGTTTTGAATGGGAGTGCAGCTTTGCCTTCCAGGTAGGTAGCAGTGTGCCTGTTATGTTACATCATAGAGTACTGGTTAATAGTGGTTGAATTGAATTGGAACAGAGTGGCATTAAGGAGACTGCCCTAGGTGTACCTGGGCTTTATTAACCAGTTTGCTCTGTTGAGCCAGCCAGCCAGAGTATACAGACTACAGCTAAGGGGGAAAATAAAGCAAGGGACAGACCGGGCTTGGGGAAGTGCTACGTAGCAGATCTCAAATTCTGATTGAATAGATTTCTACTTAGGCTAGTTGGGAAGCCAAAAATCTTGGCTACGTTATTTAACCTTTTTGAGCTTCCATTCTATCTGTTAGATGGTCAGTACCTTCTTCCCAGGCTTTGCTGAGGATTAGAGATAATGCATATGAAGCATCGAATAGAGTCTAACACATGACAGGCACTCAGAAAATATTATCCTTATCATATTACCTGCCAGGGACTTCCTCGGTCTTTAACACAGGGCAGTAGGCACCTGAGATGCTCATTTTAGTAATTTTTAAGTGTGCGCTGTTGCATGGCATTTGCAGCTGTGTTTCCCCCATGCTACCCTCTGCTCCTAACTATGCCCCACAGTGGGACAGGGACAACGGGATGGGGCATGAAATGACCTTAAACTGTGCCCTTAACTGTCAGATTGTGTGAGAAAGGTAGTGTCCTGAGTCTACCTGCTTGTCCACCACTAAGAAAAAGCGCTTGTTTTTATGAAAGCCTCTTCTCCCTAACGTGCTGTGTTCAATTACAAAGAAAACTGAAATGTGTTATTTTCAGAGGCTTTGATCATAGAGGGTTTCTTATTTTCTATTTGACTTTCATGTTTATCGAATGAATGAATGAGTAACTTGAAATATCCTAGACCAGCTGTGTTCCTGCCGCAGACTAAGCTGGTAAAAGACCTCCATTCTGTATTGCCCAGCCTGACAGTTTAGGGCACCAAGTTCCAGCTGAGGGACTGGTGAGAGAGCGTGTCAGCCACTGGCCACAGGATGCTAAGATGAGCTGCCCTTCTCCTCCATACTTCCTTTCCACCTGTGCTCCACATGATTCTTTGAAAATGAGGTTTCTTATACCTTCCTTACCCCTTCGGTGAGTACTGCTGGTTCTCACAAAAATTTTAACCCGGCCAAAAATCTCTTTGACATTCCCAGAGCTGTCCTTTGGCCCCTGAAGTCCCTCCTGTCGGCCCCTTAGCCATCCTTTGCTATAGTTGGAACTACCTTCCTTGGGCAGTGCCACGGAGCCCAGAGACTTTCTTCCTTTTCTGTTCTCCTGCTCTATCCATGCTTTCCATGATAGCAAGACAGAAGAGCCAGCTCGTTTACCAACCTAGACAGTAGATATTCATGTTTTAAATGTGCCTTCCTTACCTGCGCAGGCTACGGGTACATTTTAACTAGGGTACCTCTACAGATATCAGTTGAAATCTAAGTTTAAATAACCTTATTCAGAATGTTTTGCTCTTTAAGGTTTTCCTAAAAGTTTGTTCATTTATTCATTCATCGTCAAACATTTGTTAGACACCTAATATGTATGTAATACGAGGCATTGTGCTAGAGATACAAAGACAGGTAAGAGTTCATAATTATTCTCAGGAGCTTATGTTTTCAGTGGGCTAGACAGACATACAGAAAAATAATTACAACGTGGTGAGGTAAGAAATGAGGAGAGTCATGGCAAAGTGCTTTGGGGGCACTAAGAATGGATGCCTGACTGGGTATGTCAGACATGGGTTCACACAGTAGGAATGAACCTGTAAAGAAGAATAGGATTCCCTCAGAAAATGGGAAAGAGGGAACGTCCTATACTAAAGCATATTGTACTGGGAAATAAGTATTTTGCTACAAGCTAGAGCAGGAATTGGGGAATTTTCTTTAAAGGGGCAGATAGTAAATATTTGTGGGCCATGTGATCGATCTGTCGCAATTAACTCTACCACTGCAGCGTGAAAGCAACTGTAGGCAGAATGTAATGAATGGATATGGCTGTGTTCTGATAAAACTTTATTTCCCCAAACAGGCAACAGGCTGGCTTTGGCTTGCCAGTTGGGCTGGAGTTTACTGATCCCTGAGCTAGAGCATAAGGCACAAGTAGAGGTGTGGGCAGAGATAAGGATGGACGGATAATCAGGGGCCAGATCATGATTTGCTTGGCAAGTTAAGTTCAGAAATTTGGGCCAGTATTTTTCAAAGTGTGAAGTAAAGAAGACTGAATCAGAATTTTGGGGAACAGGGCCTGGGAATTTGAATTTTGTTTGAAAACCAAGGCACCATAGTTGTTGAGGAGCTATTAAAGGATTTTAAAGCAAAGGTGATAATATCAGATTTGTGTTTTCAAAAAAAATGTTCATGGCTATATGGAGACTGGATTAGGGTAAAGATGTAGGAACTGGAACAAGACTAGAGGCAGATGGTCCAATCAGGAAGGAACATAGATTTTGGCATATAACCAGAGTTCAAATCTAATTTCCGCCACTTAAAGCTATTATGACTTTGGACAGATTATTATTTTTTAATTGAAGTATAGTTGATTTACAGAACTGTATTAGTTTCAGGTATACAGCAAAGTGATTTAGTTATATATATATATTTTTTGGATTATTTTACATT